TCCCACAAAAAATTTATAGAAATTGCTGCACATAACAGAAGCCTGTTGATTTGCATCTATAAATTGAAAAAAATCCATGAGATATTGCCAATTTGGATATTGACAAATAGTGGCAGGGAACTAGTGATCTGGAGAGACAATATATTTAAGAGACATCTGCATAATAAAAAAAATACACAAATTTATATTTATAAGAAGTTCTAGCTCTAGATGATTATGACAAAAAAAAATACTAAAGCTCCAAGACTTTATATATTAGGTAAAATGCAGGCTTATATGAATAATTAAGACTATAATTTTTCCTCCATCTTATTTTCTTTTTTTCTAATGATGAAAATTTTACTTTAAGAGTCAAATCTAATATATTTATATGATTCTGCTTCTTCAAATTGAATTTTATTTGTGAAGGTTTTTCTTCATAAATTATTGTTACAATTCAACCTTTGTCACGTATAATTCATAGACATTTTTCCATGTATACATAGTAATCCCAGTTATTTATACAGTTGCACAAGGAGAGGCGCACACATTCATTGAGTGAAACTGAGACAAGAATTTTCAAGATGAATCTACTGTAAAATTAGATGGGATAGGTTAAGAATGAGCATATTCATAATATAGTAAGTAGTGTTTTCAAAAGGGCTTAAGGCTTATGCTTTCAAACATTCCTTGTGCAATGTTCACTAGGAAACTCAAAGCTTATGAGGGTTTAAGCCTTGATTTAGTCGTGTCAATAACTGAATTGTTAAAGATTTTCTATAATGATATTTAGGCCTTCACAAAAATGTATAACATATTTCTGAGTATAGAAGATACTTTGCTGCATAAGTTCTTGGCTTGATTTTCTAATAAACTGTCATCTATTTTCTGTGTAGCTAGGAATATCTTTGTCTGTTATTTCCCTTCTATGCCTTGATTTTAATAGACTCAGCGCATTTCAAATGATAAGGATGTAGGCTTAAAAATATTGAGATAGTTGAAAGAAAAAATGTATGAATTTGCTTGATAATTAGCTTGTTTATTTGATATTGTTAGATAAAAACTATAATTAGAAACTTCATAGTGCAAATGAACACTAATGATCAAATTAATAGGTAAAGAACTCACATAATTATAGGAGAAACACGCCCTACATTCTTCTATTCTTAAAACAGATACATGATGCGGAAGTATATAGATTTAACTTGAATCACAGTAGCAATATGTTTTTTGGCATTAAACATTTTTCCATCTAAGAGGCGCACACGGAGAGTCTCTCCCTATAACCATTTCTCCATGCGCCTCTCCATGCACGGAGAGGTGCACTTCCTGCACACGGAGAGGGTAACTCTCCGTGCACGGAGAGTTCAACTCTCCGTGCACAGACAGGCAGCCTCTCCGTGCACGAAGAGGTCCTTTCTCCGTGCACGAGACGTAGTCTCTCCGTGATGCCGGACAACATTTTCTTTTATTCAACAATAGAAATTTTACCTTTCAACCAGCTAAAATGTTTCTCTCTACTCTCTACTTTGAAAACTCTCTCTCTTGCAAAAATTTGTAGAATTGTAGAATTGGTAAAAAGTTAGTATGATTGATAAGATAAATAATATAAGATTCTTCACATGTGAATATGAATTCTCGTGACTTTAAACTTTTAACTTTTAGTAGTTGAAACAATAAATGAAGATAATAATTGTAGGAATGTTATTTTGTTGTTATGTGAGTTAGTTGGGATAATAATTGTGGGAAATAAATTCTCCTTTTTTTTTTTTTTTGTTTAACATGCTCATTCACATTAAAATAAACTAAAAACTAATTTTATCAAATTTGTCACAAAATATATCATCAATATCTTTTCTCAAAACTCTTTCTCATCGTATCACTCATTATATTTTTACACAGTTTACTCAGTATAAAGTATGCAGCGTATAAAACCTATTTACACAAGCTATTGAGTTACTCTAACACGATGAAATTTTACACATTGTCAGATACTTCTAATAATTAATTGAGTTCATCTCATGAGTACTACAACTTTACAAGTAATCCCTATACCAGTATACAAGTAATCTCCATATCAGGTATGGCTATAGATTAGATTTTACAATATATTACTACTAGTAGATATAATAATCTAAAAAATATAGATATCTTCATCTATTTTCAATTGGTTATCTCATCATCAAAAGAAATCCCCCAATTTACAAGTCATCCCCATACACAAGCCATTGAGTTACTTTAACACGATGAAATTTTACACATTGTCAGATACTTCTAATAATTAATTGAGTTCATCTCATGAGTACTACAACTTTACAAATAATCCCTATACCAGTTTACAAGTAATCTCCATATCAGGGATGGCTATAGATTAGATTTTACAATATATTACTACTGATAGATATAATAATATAAAAAATATAGATATCTTCTTCTATTTTCAATTGGTTATCTCATCATCAAAAGAAATTCCCCAATTTACAAGTCATCCCCATACCAGGTATGGCTATGGATTAGATTTTACAGTAAGTATCCATATAAAAAATATAAATGATATAACTCTAGATGTCTATATATATCTTCTTCTATTTGGATTGGTTATCTCATCTCATGAAAAAAAAAATTCTCCAAAAGTTCCTCTTTGTCTTTATCATGTTTATAAAAAAACATTGTCAATGGAAGAAAAATATCAACTTATACCAGAAATTCTATCCAACAACCAAAAATGGAAAGCCAAAGTAATTATTGTAGAGAAACAATCACCAAAACCTTCAAGACAAGGCAATGGAAGATATCAACACATGATGCTAATGGATACTGACGTAAGTTATACAACGATTCAATTTTTATCTTTTTATCTATCAGTGTAACACTATTCAAGCAAGTCTATATGATTCAAATATCACTGCCTTCAAAAATCAACTTCTCCTTGGAAAGACGTATGCAATTTCTAAATCTTATATTAAAAATAACACTGGAAACTATAAATATTCAACAGGAGCTCTACAATGGACGATTTCTGGACAAACTTGTGTTGAAGAGTTGAATGACAATGACCTAGAACTTGTTTTTTCCACTTATCACCTAACTTCTTTCGAAGAAGTTGAGCAATTCATGGATACAAACACTGATATAAGTAAGAAATTCCATCTTTATTTTCAAAATAAATAATACTATTATATATAATTTAATCAAATAATTATAATTACAGTGAACACAAAAATAATTTATTATTATTTTTTTTGCAGACATTTTGGCTATTCTGATTGATATGATGCCTAAACGATTGAGTCAATCAAAAGATGGCAACCAAACTTGGGTATAAGATGTAATACTTCTGGACCAAAAATTCAGAACAATGATGTTGACAATGTGGGATTCTTTTGTTGACAGAGAATGCAAATTATTCTCAGAAAATATTGACAAAAACCAGTAATCTTTGCAACAAACCTAAAAGTCACCTCTTTTTTCGATAAATTTCTATTATTCTTTTTCTTGTTTAAACTCTGCTTAAAATTACATTTCTTATCTTGCATCAATGAATTCTGTAGGTTTAAAACTTTCCAAAAAAATTCGTAGTACATTTTTCCTGAATACTCCTTTCATGGCAGTAGAAGAATTGGTTCAATGGTATGTATATATATCCTTCAACTTATATTTATTTTGGTTTTATTTGGCTCATCTACTCTTTCATTTCTTTCAGGAAAGATACAAATTTAAACAAAATCGATGAGTTGATTTTGAAAAAGCCATATACTCAAAAACCTCCCACAAAATTGTCTCCTCCAGTGCACATATATATATATATAGTTTCTTACTACATAAATAAATAATTGCTCTTTTTTATCTCAGAGTAAGAGTATATGTCCAATTATCAGATGCCACAGGATGCATAAATGCAAGTACAATTGGTGAAGCTACAAAAAAACTTATGTTCACAAATGCACAAACTTTGATGAAAGAAACAAACTTTGTAATAATTTACAGTCTTCTCCAATTTCTTTTGATATATTTGATAAATTTCTTCATGAGACATTCATATTTTTTATACACAGGGTTCACAAGTAGATTTTGGAGATATAATTGAAAAAATGCAAAATACTGAAAGAGCATTCTATCTCAAAGCAATTCAAACAGAACCTAATTCATCCAATTACAAATTTGACATCATTTCTGTCGAATGTTTAATTGTAGGTGAAGAACAAGATTGCCAAAAGAATATTAATTCTGAAAAAAATTTGGACAATTTTAACATGGATGCAGATGACAGTTACTCCCCTCCAACCAAAAAAGCTCTTTTCAAATCAGCTATTCACCAGTCAGAGTTAGAAAGTGCCAGCTCAAATCCATTTGTATTGGACAAAATGAAAGAAAAAATAGAGTAAAAAATGGAATGAGCAGCATTATCTTAAAAAAAAGGCCAAGTTCATTTTGCATAATATTGTATATATTTTTGGTCTACCTTATGGTTAATTTATAGCTTTTAATGAAATTACTTTCTCTTCAATTTCTCATTTTCAACTACTTAACACTCTTCTTTTTTTAAATACTCTACATAATCCATGCTAATAATAACAAAATCTATACAAAACTCGTGCATCGCACGAGGCAAAAACTAGTAAATATAAAACTGGTAAATAAGAAATATGTGACTAAGTCTCTGTTTGACCCCCATTATTTCAAATTATAATGGGTAAAATAGTTTTTTTTTTTTTTCAGAGAATGAGTGGTTGAAAAAAAATATTCTTTTAATTTATGCGTAATATTATTTTTCGAAAAATTGTGTTGTTAAAATATTGAGGGAAAGATAAAATGAATTTTGGACACATTCGTCTAATTTATAGAGGCTGTTTGGGAGTGATTTTGAGAATTGATTTTTTGACCATTAGGAGAAAAGTGGGATCCACCCGTGAGAGAAGAAGTCAAATATGATGGCTGAAATAGCAAAATAACGGTCAAAAAATCAATTTTTTAGATGAAAAAATCGGACCCAAACAACCTTATTAAGCATGTACATATTTCCTACCGCTTGGTAACGAGAAACGCGTTCCTCTCAATAAGAAAACCAAGATGTCGACTGACGGCAACCCAACCGGTACGGCGGCAAGGACAGAGCCAAGACGACTGAGAGGACTCAAAGCCACCGCCACCAGCTGTATCGCCTCCGTTCAGCGCCCTGGCCTTGTCGCCGCCGCCGACGAGGTCCCTCTCTCTCTATTTACGTAGCTAACACTCATACAAGCACACGCACATCTCACTTGCTATTTTGACTACCGTCACTTGCTTTTATTCCATTTATGAATTCAATTTCAGTAGCTTTTCAATAAATTCTTAATCGGTGATTTTAGAGCACTCATATAATTTTTTGACTACTTTTTTCCTAATTTAAAATAGGATGGTTGTATTTGTTGGTTTGATTTGCGGTGCAAGGACGTGTTATCTACTATGAATGTAGGGAATCACAACCCAATTACTTCATTGTGTTTCAAACCAGGTCAGTTCTCTTTTTCTGTCTTCTTCCTTGTATTTTCCGTGCCATTAGGCTAATTTTGTTTTGTTATTTTTTTTCCTGAAATAGAAAACCGAGAGTTCTATTGAGAAATCTGAATTAGCTGGATGAACGCGTCTAATTCGAAATTCGTTTATCCTGAAAAGACCCTTGTTCTCCTTCCAAAATATGGACTGAGAAGGAGAAGGCATGATTGCGGCTGGATAAAAACTGAATGATCTGCTGTTGGGCCTTTTAACCGAATTCGTCTTATCTTTTCTTAAATCTTGAGACTAAGAATTCAACCATCATTTTAAGATATAAATCCAGATCTTTACTGTGTTTTGCTGGTTTAGTTTTTTTTTGTCTTGAGAATATTTGAATGATTCCCAATTGGAATATTAATTAGAGAAGTTTCATCATCTGATTTCATTATTGCATAACACAGGTACGGAAGATATCATTTATGCATCCTCAGGAAATGAAGTCAAGTGTTTTGATGTGCATATGGTACGTTTCTGTGTAACAAGTATAATATTCATATTGTTCAAGATTCTCCTTCCTTGACTACTCCATTACTTCCAGTCTTCCATTACTCCACCCCCATCCCACAATGAGTAGTACTTTAAGATTCCAACTAATTAAGATATGCACCCAAAATATGTTAATTAAGGCCAGAAGATGAAACTTGGACAAATCTATTGTCTTTTAAATTGTCGATTTTCGCAGTCACATACTTCGATATTTGCCTTACTATTTTCCTCATCTAGATGTTCCAAACTAATGTTCACTTTCATAGTTACCATTGCCCCTGTAATTATCATTTCTGGTGGTTTTCTTTTATCCATTCAGTATCTTACTTCATATCGTGCTCAAGTTTCCATTTAGATATTGGATTTCATTTGAGCTGTGTAGTTCTGTGTTTTGTCCCTTGGTATTTTGGAAAGAAATGTGCTTTGTTATTGCAATGTTAATCATGTGGATTTTGTGGAGGGGAGCGGCAAAAGGGTTTTTGAGGTTCAGTTATGGAGATCAAGAGTACCTTTAATCTTAATGTTTTGGAGATCCTCTTTTATCCCAGCCTTATTGGATGCATGAATGGGGGTTTCTGACTGAGGTGGCTCTTGTCTGCAGTTTTGTTACATCTCTTGCATATCGCCTTCTCTTCTTCTGACAATTAAATTCTGGTTCATGGTTTAGATTGTCTGCAGTTCTGTGTATATCTCTTGTATATTGCTTTTTCTACTTCTATCAATTAAATTCTGCTTTATAAAAATGGCTACTAATACATTGACTTTTAACACTGAAGGCAGCTTCATGGAAGCAGCTAGAAAGTTACAACTATAACAAGGACGAGATAAATCAGGTGCACACTCTTACCAGATTGTTAATTCTTAAAATTCTTGCCAAGTGATATTTGCTCTTCGTATTCTGAAATGTTGTCTTGCAGCATTTGTGATGAAATTGCTCTTCTGGTTCTCTAACACTGAGACACTGGAAGAAGTTTTGTATATTTAATTTATTATTGCTGGTGCTTGATTCAATACGTATTCCTATGATAGCATTATAATAGTATAGTTGAAGGCTGGAAGCCGTGTACAAGAATATTTTGGGTACCAAGGATTCTATTTGTACACTTGAAGGCTGCCATGTACCGAAAATGTGTGTACAAAATCGGTAATTGTTTAACCTTACGACATTGAACAAGTCCATTGTAGAAACCAACAAATTTGTTGTTCCCTAAATATTCAGGAAAAAAACTATAAAGCTTATGAAATATTCATAAAATAGCTCCTCCACACCTTCAAATTATTTCTTGCTTCTTCTTCTTCTCCTTCCTTTTTTTTATTTTTTATTTTTTTAATTTGAATTTATGTCTGTATCCATCTTGGGAAGAAGACGATAATGCTAGCATAAATCAAATACAGATGGTATCTTTGTTATTTTCACTCATTGGTTTTACAAAATGTCCTAGTGGAGGCCATTGTGAATATTGAATCTAACAGGTGTAAGCTTTGTTTGATTGTTTGTTTCCCCATGATCTTGTTCTTCTGTTTTAATCTTTTGTTATTTCATGCATGCATCTTCTCGTTCCACTGTCTCATCATCTAGTTCCACCGTCTTCATAATCAAACCATATGAAGCTATATATTTTGCAGTTATTTCATTTTTACTATTGCAGATTGCTTGCCATTCAAAATCATCTTTTCTAGCTGCTGCTGATGATTCTGGAGATGTAAAGGTATAATTATTTGGTTTGAATTAATTATCTGCTGTCACTGTTCATTTGATGTTGCTGAAACCGAAAAGTATATGGGTAAATCATATCTTTTCACTAGGGAGCTGATTCCATTTAAATGATCTACAATGCTCTTTACAGTCTTGACTATAACAAAGATTTTTGCCAATTTATTTTGAACTTAAACTGAACGTAAGAAACTACATATAATATTAATCAGTAATAATTTTTGCGTAAATGTGCCAAATGGAGGTTTTTAATGTTTATAGGTCACCTGTACATCCTAATAGTGATAAAGAAGACTGAGATTCAAGACCTATTGGGCATGTAGATGGTATTTGTAACCTGAAAAGAAAGAGTTGGAGCATATTATGAGATTTATATCTTTACATAGTAATGAATTTGCTGGTTAATTATGTTGACCATTTCTTGAAGTTTCTGGATTTCTAATTTAACGTTCCCCGTACCAAAAAAAAAATCACTTCTTAAGAATATATTTTGGGTAGATAATGGTAGGGATGATGCTGTGATACTGAACCTGTAACTGTGTCTCTGTTGCAGATCTTTGACATGCATCAACAGTGTCTTTACAAAACACTAAGAGCTGGCCATGAGAGTGTATCCTTTCCTGCATAGGACTTGCTGTAATTTGTTTGCCAGGACAGGTGGTTTTTTGCTGGCTTTAATTTTTCTTTGAATAGTTTTTACTTTCAAGTGTTAGTTGCCAGTGCTCCTGATCTCTTGAGTGCATTCTAAACCTGTTGACTTTTAGTTCTGTCAAGGTTATATTCATTTACTGTTATTATCTTGCAAAATATATTGATAATTTGTTTGACTGAACTTTTGTTACTAATTAGGCTCTCAAAATGTTCATCGCCTTCATATCCTTCACTGTTCTATTCAGATTTGTAGCAGTGTTCAATTCCTTCATTGGAGACCTTGGGAAGGTATTTTCTTAATAATATTTTTTTCTTAATGCTTAAATTAATCTCTATTTCTACTTAGAACACGCCTTATTAGCATAATATTAATTTTTACTTGGCAGTAAAATTGTATCACTTCGTTTAGTTTGTTTGTTCAGTATGTCTGATGCCTGTATGTATGATGAAAAAACTTGAGGGGGTATAACTTGAGATATTTATGTCTACCCACAAGGTTTTGGGGAGTGCAGTGTTATCAGTACTATGAGAAATATCTTTTAGACATTCATTAGCGCACCATTGAAAAAGTTTTTATCTTTCAAAATTTTACATTCATTTATGGTTTCTTTGGAGTCAAGCTTTTAGTAATTACATTAGTTTACTGTTAACAATTGTTATGTGCTATGATTAACATCTGATGTGTATATGTTTTGTTGCAGTCATCACTGGTGGTCTTGATTCAAAGCTTGTGATGTGGGACTTCTCCAAAGGATGTCGAAACAAAATTCTGGACTTTGGTATTAGTGCTTCAATTATAGTCTCATTGATCTCTTTTTAACATTACAGAAATGATAATCGGATGTCCTGTTCTATTAATTGGCTAAAATATATTTTATCTAACTAAAAATTGCTGGAAGAACAATATTTTGAAATCACGGTAGTAGTGAAGTTGAAATATAATTGTGTTATGAAATCAATATAAAAAATCAAATATCACATTTTAAATGTCTCTGTCTGCAAAGAAGATATAGGAAGATTGCTTGTTCAAGTTTAGGACAATCGAGCCTGCTCATGTTTTGCTTCAGAAAAACAAATCTTAGGTTGAGCTTGACTCTTAGGGTCTGTTTGATTGCGAAGATAGAATTTGGGTGGAAAGAAAATGAATTCCAGGGAATTGAATTACCTAGAAATTGTTTTCCTGGGAATTGTAAATTATTGTGTTTGATTGGTATAATTTTCCACGTGGAAAATATTGAAGTGTTTTTTGGTGTTCGTTTGGCTTTGTTTTACATGAAAATTGTCAATTTAAGGGATATTCACTTCTACCATTGTTCCTAGAATTTGTTTCCATTGCCCAAAAAAAAAAAAAAAAAAGATCAAAAAATCATTTATTATATTTTGGTGTTCGTTTGACTTTGTTTTACATGAAAATTGTCAATTTCAGGTATATCCTGTTTTACAATTGTTCCTAGAATTTGTTCTCATTGCCAACAATTAAAAAAAAAAAAATGTTTCCATTCCAAAAAAAAAAAAAAAAAAAAAAAAAAAAAGGTGGAAAACCAAAAACCACCAACCCCCTAGGGAAATAAAAGGTGGAAAATCACGCTTTAAGGTGTTGTACCTAGAATTACATGGAAAATGAATTCCCTGGAAAATTTTGTCAATCAAACAGGCCAAAAGTGGAAGTTGGAATTCGAATTCCAAGTTCCATGGAAAATTTGGCGAATCAAACGGAGCCTTACTTACCAAGCTAAGTAGAGCTTTGTGTTCAATTGAAATTTTCAAACCACTATTATTTTTTTCTTTTGGATTTTACTAATAAAATGAAATTTTAGTTTCTTAACTTTCAAAAGGAAAATAATTTTTAGTTTTTGATAATTAAAACCCAATAGACGTATCATACATCATCTTTTTTTTTTTTTTTTTTTTAATATGAGCTTTGTTGCTAGTTTAGTAAGAGAGCATAAAATCAAGCTTGAGCTCAACAATCCTAGTAAAGCTTAAATGAGTAGCTTTGGAGTTTGGAAACATTATTAAAATTCCAAAATATTAATTCTCAAAACTTTATACGACTATATTTAATCATGTAAAATTAGCTTTACTTTAAATACTATATGATTATCCATTTTGTAAAGAGACAAATGAAGTTCTTGGTGGTTTGCTTGAATAATTTGATTTGTGCAATAATTCTATTTCTTTTTTTCGTTTTCTTTTGGATGTAGGATTACCTGATGCAGGCAGTAGAGATAGCACTGGCCAATTATTGAACCTAGCATTTATTCATGCTCTAGCAGTTCCGCAACTGGATATGGTGGATAAATTAGGCAAGATTTGTGTGGTGGCTCGGGGTGATGGTGTTGTCAGTGTGATAAATACTGAATCAGAACTTGCTGCTTTCAAGTCAAAAAATTCATCAAAGAAGGGTACTAAATCGACCTCTAAAAGTAGTGCTTCAACTTCTGATGCCCAAAGCCAAGATCAAAATTGTCCAAAGCTGCACTTGGATTACTCTATGGGAGGGCACACTGCTGCAGTATCCTGCGTGTGAGAAATCCTTTTCTATAGTTTGCTTTTGAGTAGAGAAATCTAATTGTCGAGTGAAGGTTCTTGTCATCAATTGCTGATTTTATGATGTTTTAATTTAGGGCATTTTCGATGTTTGGAGAGAAAGGGAAGTTTATCCTCTCTGGTGGAAATGATAAGTCAGTAAAGCTGTGGGATTGTTTCAAATCTATTGATGCCGGGCAGATTAGCAGCGGCAACGATCTTCTAACTTTAAACATCAACACGAGCAAAAAAGTGAGTTACAATTTCTTTCCCTCGACTTCCATGTTTTTAACGTGTGGCTATTAGAAAGAAAAACAGGGATGTTTTCACTTGTAAGGACCTGTTCCTTTTTCTTTATCAAAAGTCGTTTCATGATATGGCCTCTTACCACATCAGGTCAATTGGCTCTGCACGACTACATCTGATTCGGAAAATCTAGTTGTATGTGATACATCCAAACTAGTGAAGGTTTATACTGTTGGGTGAACGTTTGGATATCAATTCGTGCAAATTGTTTAAAAGGTGAGGCTGGCGAGGCTTATCAGGACTGCAAGACCAAATTTGGCAGATAATTGTGCTTCCTGTGCTTTACCTTGGGTCGTTGCATCCTGCTGCACATAATAGTTATGTCCTGAGGCCATCGTATTTGTGCTTAATATTCATAAATAGGCATACAAGATCTGTCGTTATGTCAATTTCAGTGTCGAGAAAACAGTCATGAAGATTCAAGTGCTGCAAAAATCGACATTGAGGGCTCGTATATTTGGAAAAATTGATTGTAGAACCAAGTGCTTGTTCATGTGATTAGTCACACTTGGCTTTTGTAATTGCTCCAAATCAAGAAAAGTTTAAATGAACTTTGAAGTCACTTATACCCCGAATTAATCACTAAATGCTTGTTAACTATTTAACTACTTTTTCGAACAAATTATAATGAAGATCCACACGATGCAGTTTCTGAAATATGTAAGTAGAATTTAATTCTCGACAATTCATTTACTTGTCGACTACGACAGAATTGTGAAGATACACAAGACGATCATGTCTGCCTTTTCACTTCACTAACTAAAAGCAATCAGCAAAGATTGAAATATAACTAATTATCTGGAAATAAGTCACAACTAGAGCATGAAAATACCTTGTATAGTTTCCATGTTGTCTTCCTTATAAACACCAATTGGCGAGTCATGCACAGAAAGAAGAATCTCCCCGTGCTTCAGAAGCCTCGGAGTTTTGGGAGTCATCCCAGCTGATAACCTCTGATTATTCATCTGCAGCTACAAAATTAATTTGTTAACGTATGATGGCGCCAGAAAATAAACAAGATGCAATCAAGGTTGTCGACTGAATCTTTGGGGAAACATTGGATAAGTTCCTAAATTTATCCTTGAACGAGTACAACAATGAAAAGCTAGAGGTAAAGTCAGTAACATATCTCGAGAGAGGTATCACTGGTTGACATCTAAGTAGTACCATTATACTTTGATCGGGGTTCCTGAATTAAAGTAGATATTTTAATTAAGTGTGACGTTCATATTATGTGGGTCTGCATTAAGATGAAGTAATGTTACTGCATGTTTGATACGTGAGTAAAATTTAAAAGAATGAGAAATGAAAAAGGGAGAAAAAGGTGACCAAAAGTAAACAGCATGTCTTGAGCTCTATCAGACATCATGTAAGCACGTAGACCCAAAAAATAAAAAACTTAAATAAATATTTCTTCTTCTTCTGCTGCTGTTCTACCAAATGAAAAACAGGGAAGCAATATTTATAGCAAAACAAATTTGAAGTCATATGGGCCACTAGTAGGATTTGTTAACCATAAGTTCCATTGCAGACAAGATGGCATTGCGGCAGAGCAATCAGGATAAAGCATTGACAGCTGATGTGGAAGAGAATCATGTATTCATGGATAAGTTATGATCCTTGTCTTTCCATTGCACCTCATACTTGCCATCTCTTCCATCCTTTGCAATGGATAGATTTGGAAGGTTTTCCTTGAAAAACTGCAGCACAGGAATTTGCATTAGGAATTTTCACATAATTTGTGAAAGCAGGAATTAAGTGGCCAAGAATAAATCCAGTCATCCAAAATGCAATACTCAGACATGGATTGATGCTACGTTACCGTCTTTAAATAACTTTCTATATTTTTAAAAGAGAAAAAAGGTCGTACCATTCCGTCTTGAAAATAGTAAGATACAAAAGCATATCAGCTTAATACATATCAACATCACGTCATCACGAGCAGCATTTTTTAGGACATCGAACTTTCCATGATTGCTTCATGCTACAAGCATCGAAGGACTCGCCATAAAGAGATCAGTGTACCATTAACAAAATACCAAGGTTCTTAAAAATTAATTAAGCAATTGACCGTATTTTACATGCTCAAGGAGGTAGACGGTGTCGTAGCCGAGTTAATTGTCCCAATGGTCACTGAACTTAGGTTCATGTCTTTGATTGGTCACTGAAATTTAAAATGTCGATTTTTTACCATTGAACTTTGAAAAATGTTGTGCATTATTCACTGAATTTTGAAAAATGCTATATATATTCATTGTAAACTTGACATTTTTCAAAGTTCAACAATTATGCTAGTGAGTAACGCACGGCATTTTTCAAAATTCAGTGGCCAAAATTCGACATTTTAAGTTTCAATGAGCAAAACTCGATATTTTAAACTTTAATGACCAATCAAAGACATGGACCTAAATTCAGTGACCCTTGGAACAATTAACTCGTCGTAGCCACAGTTTGATGAAATAATGATACATCAAAACCATGAAACAAATTTACAATTACAAGCCCATCAGTAAGGCTTCCCTCCTGTTAATTCTCATACAAATGTTAATCTAATATGTTCCTAGCCTTTTAACTTTCTATTTTGACTCGTTTTTTACTTATTAACTTAAAAAAATGAATTGTACAAGAGCCGAAAACAGATTTCAAACACTTCTTTAGTTATTGAGAGAACCCAAGTACTCTCTTTTGGATTCAAGAAATAACTCTCGGAAATCTCTCTTTTCTGGAAGATACAAAAACGAAACAATCAACTTATTGATATTAAAAGACCCACCACAAGCAGCGTCATGAGTCCTTGGTTTTTTTCTCAACTTCTCTCTCTCCATGTCCTTTTCAGTGGAGGGTGGAGCTGACGGCATTTTGAATGTAGCCGGCAGGATTGGAAGAATAGGAAGGAGATAGACTACATCAATGTCCTTTATAAATGAAATGGGCCGGTTTGATTTTAATTTTTTTTTTTTAATTGTTGAAAATGAATAATTTCAATTATACATTGGGTTCATTGCCACATATGGTGACTACAAATACATTCCACATCAGAAAAAAAATTATGTACAAGTGTTATTAGGCTCAAACGGCCGTGATGCACAGAATCACTCGATAAATCCAGCACAGCTTCGTAATGCACACTTCAACTGTTTTCTGTGCTTTGACCATCTCGAAACTTAAAGAGGCCAATAAGAATTGTCCATATTCAAATCCATGTTACTAAAAATCTTAAAGCCTTGTTTGGGTGTCTACTTTCTATAGTTACCGGGAGAGGATAGAGGGGGACCCATCAACCAAACAGCGCCAATGTGACTCCAATATTAACGTTAACGTTTAGACCTGAAAACGCCTGTCGAGATTCAAGATACACTGAGGACAACTCTAAAATGAAGAAAATGATCAAACACTAGATTGATCCCAATGAAGCTCTGAAAGCCTTAACTACACAATAACATAACTAATCCGTAACAGATAAAACAACGAAAATCGTTCATATTGGGAAACTGAAACTCAACACATACCGGTCAATCCAGTAGACTTCTATCTGGAAAGACTACTACCCGAACTCATTCAGTAGGAAAAATAACTACACATTGAATATCAAGTACATAATGCATTTGTAAATTCTTAGAATTCACTCTCCACGAAAAATATCCAGGTATAACTCGTGATAACATGAGGAGTGAACATTGAGGAAGCAAATTGCCCGTCTGAAACAAATATGGCCCTTTTCACAGGGTGGATGGGGAAGAACGGAACTATTGGAGATATGGATTTTGATTTTGGTTGTAAAAGAAAAGGGAACGATATATACAGGAAATAATCAAATCAATTCTACCCTCTTCACATTAGTGCCTTTGATATTTGAATCTCAAGCTGCAGACAAGAATGTCAACTCTAAGATCATCTCTCCAACTTTCGGTCACTGGATCGCCTATCTTCTGCCTCCTTCCGTCTTTGTTGCCTGCAATTTTAGGAATCTCAGCATATTTAGAATCATTCATCTGCTAAATAAAAACACCAAAGACATTCTTGACATAGTGATAGGCCACCTATACAAATTAAATACCAAAGACGTAAAACCAAGGCAGGGGCAGAAAAGGAAGGACAGGAAAGATTATAACAACCAGCATGTGTCACAACAGATTTGGTTAGTGGCCACTATATAAACAGAAGAAGAAGGGAAGAAAGGGCAGCTAGAAAATCAGGAAAATCTGGGGAGTCTGGACCTCTCAAAAGTCCATTTATCCATTTCATTATTGTCATTTCATTTCAGTTATTTTCAAGTTATATTGGAAAGTAATCCCTGTGGATGTTACTTCAGAATTTTATGTCAATACAGTAATTCATTTTGAGTTGTCATTACTGATTTACGTGAATTTCATATTTGAGCTGCTTGAATTCCTTGAATTTTCTGCTCGTTAGTCTCTTTGGCCGCAGGGTTCTATCACATAGTTATACATTTAGCATGCACATGCACTACATTTGGCTAATCTCGAGTTTAAGAATATGGTTCAATTTTTCCAAGGCACACCGAGAAATATTCTCTTCAACTACCAGAACTTATGCGCAACCTCATAGCCAAGCACATTGGAGAAGCCATTATGATACTAGGCAAAGGGAGATTTTAGCATCCCTAGATTTTAGCATTCTTAACGTATTTACAATATGACGACACTAAAGATCTTCAAAAGCTAGGAACGGCAAAAAAAAAATGGTTGACCCAAGACTTGCAGCGGGCCCGACATGAACGTGGCAAGAATTCCTCGCCCCGTTGGGTTGGCTGGGCAGGCATCGGCAGCCCAGACCGTCCCGTTTAGTATCATTTGAAAAAGAAAAATCAAATTTCAAAGAAAAAAAAAACAAAAATACATATAATGAAACAGGCACGAATGTCCCCCTACCCGCCGGCCACATTGCCATCTCCATCGAAAGCACAGTAGACAACTAAAAACTCTAGTAATGATGCATATTTGTGCTAAACTGAGGCATGGAAGAATTATTGAAGTCCAGGGAACTTTATTTCCAAATAAGGGTTAGGTTTTCCAATCCTAATAGAGTCTACTCGGGATGTTGGAAGAATTCAGGAAGGTTATAGACTTATAGGGGAGAACTTCAACCAAGGTTTCAGTATATACTAATCTGTGAAAGTTACTATTTGCCTTTGTGTCGTCTTTTCTCTTCAAGATATCATCGTCGTTCCCTTTAACCTTCATGCATTAAAATCTTACCAATACTATTGCAAGTTATCAATTTTGTATAAGTGAACTTTTTCCATTGATGGAAATATGTTAAGCTAAGCCACATTGGTTGTAAATTTCCACCATATAATAGAGCTCCTCCCCACCCCCGGCCCCAGGGGACCGTTGAAACTGTGTACAATATGTATTCTCAACCATTCACAATAAATTCCAAGGTCCAAAGAATTATCATTATAGCATCTGCAAACCTATTGACAATAATAATAATAATAATAATAAATGAAAAATAAAAAAAATACAGCCCAAAAGGTGAAAAATTATTCACTGCGCTCGTCTCTTATTTTCCTACCCAGTATTTCAAAGTTGTAGGATGTCATGTAAAATCACTTTGAACCCAACCAAAGTTAAATGTTTAAGATTCTTACAGAAATATAACCTCCCTCATACTCTCAGATTATGAAATGTAACACAGCCCAGGTTATTCAATATTAGTCTATCTCATCTCAACGAGAAAGGACCATCAAGATTGATTGACAGTAAATGTACTACGCGTTATTGACCAGAGCGTTCATTGTTGTGTAAAACGAAGTTCGCAGCCACATGCATGAGAGACGAATGGTCAAAATTAGATTAGATATGAAGAACTTACGCAAAAGCAGAGTATCCACTAACAGCTTTAGAAGCAGATAGCAATGCTGAGTGTGCGTCCACAGTAGACAAAGAATCATGCCCTCCACTGATCAGAGAATTCCATTGATCGCTGTCCACCTGAATTCAGAAGAATGCAGAGAATTTATCATACAGCAATACACATATTCCAAATGACCTGCATTCTAGGTAAAAGTAAATAATAACCTTATCCCACTTCGACTTTTTGTTCTGTCTACCATCCCGACCTACAGAATCTACTGAAGCTTGAACTGCATTTAACACACCACCAGGAACAGTGGCTAAACCTATAACCAAGCAGATTCAACAGAAAATGAAACTCAAGGACTAGGCTTATAGACCAGCCAGTAGAATTAAAAATGCCAACAACTTAAAAGAAAATTCATAGAAATGATAGGTGCTTGGAGACCTGGAATTAGCATGTTAATTTTTGGCGTACGGACAACTATTCCAGGCTGTGATCCTCCAGAAATAAAATCTGCTTTTTGATTCTTCTTCTTCTCTTGCTCCTTCCGCTCCATTTCACGCCTCATGTCAGCCTCTACTCAAACAAAAAGACCATATCTAGTTTGTCAGACAACAGTTGGCTAGATGAGGGAAGAAAATTGGAAGCATAAAAATGATAAAGGACAAAAAATACGAAGGAACATACTGCTTAACTAGAAGACAACAATGAATAATTAGAAAGATAGATAGTAACCTATCCCATCATAGAAGTCACTTTTGTCATATCCATGAGGGTTAAATACATCTTTACTGAAGCAAGATCCTATCTGATCAATATCTTGATAAGTCACTGCATGCAACAAAAAATCAGGGTTCCGGTATTGCTTTCGATTACGCACTTCTGAATTGAAACTTCTTCCAGTAGTTTTCTTTAGTGCAAGAAACCTGATTATTTTCTCCTGCAGCAACAAGGAACAGAAGACAAAAATTATTGAAAGAATGGCCAATCAATATGTTCTAGCTAGAGTAGCACCAAATATGTATTTTATTGCCAATAGGGAGTAAACATATGTAGGAATGACTTTATTTGAATTAGCTGGCATGGACGATCTTCTGGAGTCACACGTAATGCTGATTTATTAAACGCATCATCCAAAAGATGTTACAGATACTAACATTTGATGTTAAGTGTATTACCATTTATTTTTTCCCCAAACCTAAATGAACAAAATTTCTGAAAGCCCAGTCCTGCCCCTTCTTTTCCACCCCACCCACATGGAAGCCCAAGAAGTCTGTACGGTCATTTGGGCACCTTTTGCCCTAAAAGGATTTGGAGCTCAGTAGCAACATCTTTTTCACAGTAGACAAAGATCTTGGAGAAATTGATGCAGTTACTGGGTGGTGCATCCACTTTCAAACACATCAATGTTTTTTGAGCACAAACTGCCACCTCAGTAGACATTAATATTCAACATCTCCTCGACAATCATGATGCATTGAAGAGCCATAAGATGTCCTAAAAATGTTGGATTACCGGAATTAGGCCTTAAGACGTGAAGGTGAAAACAAACTACTATATGTTTGAAGGATTGCTCTGCTAGAAGATCTTGAATCCAAATCATTATTGGTTCATTGGTTGGCTTATGCAATAGCATCTAAACAGCATTTAGGTTAACCTGCTATGTATTTTGAGTTGTGACAATAAATTATGCTTCAAAGAATTCATTCAAGTAAAAGAAAAGTTGAGCTCTTATATAAAGTAGCCTATCTACTGGCACTTACTTGCAGTTCATCTGAGCATTTATCCTTTGCGGGTGGGGAGAGAAACTTGTCCAGTGGATCTTTTGGCTCTTCTGCAGAAATCATAACAGTGCCTTCAGTCTCTGTAACTTCTGCTTCGTTTGCAACATAGTTTACCGCATCTGAACCTGGCTGATCAATTGGTTTCAATAATTGAGGAGGTGTTGCTTGAGTGCTAGGCGTCAGGAGTTGAACTATTCCTGGTGAAGTTATTTCCCGGAACTCACCTAGTAATACAGGCAATTACACATACTATTAAAAAATCATCAATATTTCCAAGCTGTATATAGATTCTTTTTCCAGAACTATAAAACTAAACTCTATTCAGAATTGGGTACAATTATTTCTACACCATTATACACGAAATCATAAACTTTTTTGAAGACAAAATTGTCACTCTTTTATCAATGGAAAACAAAACCAGACCTCCACATCTTATGTGCTGCAAGTAATGCATCTAACGCACCAGTTGGAAATGCACAAAATAAAAGCAATCACACGTAAAGTTCCAGCAATGTCTGCCAGAGGCAAAATTCCTCAAATACCCAATTTAGCCTTTTTAAACTCTCCTCTTACCCACTTGCTACAGAGGAAATTGCATTCTCCAATCTCCTTATATCATTCCTGTGTTGGCAGTGAACTAAAATTAAGTCCATGTTCAGTATTGCTAATAATCCTATGTTTAGTAAAATTTGATACAAGTTGATGAAATGTGTGGTCGGAAAGTTAATAAAAGTTGTGGATCCCATGAAATATTTGTTGAAAATGAATTTGGAAAAAAGTT